TCGAACTTCAGCATGCCTCAGAATCATTAGGAAGGGCTTATTAAAACATTATTTGCTGAGCCCCATCCCAGAGTTCTTGATTCAGTAGGTTTGGAGTGGGGCCCAAGAATCTGCAATGTTAACCAAGACCCCAGGTGATGCTCATGCTATTGGTCTGAAAACCACTTCAAGAAGCTCTGCTCTGGAGGATGAGGGCAAAATTTTTCCAAATTGACTTAACTGTGTGGGCCTTCACACTCACTACATCTATAACAAATCCCTTGATTTTCTTGTAATCAGATAACAAAAATAATATACTATGATTAATAATTAAGACCAAAATAGGCATGGTGTTTTCAAATAGATATTATTTTAAAATACTACATTAGAATTATTATCTTGGGAAATAACTACCATCTTTTTCCCCACTTCGTTTCTCTCACTTACCCATAAAGGCAAGAACTACCCTGTCCTCTAAAGTTTACTGTGTATCCCTATTACCTAACACAATGAATAATGTATAACCAGAATTTAAAAATTAATTGAATAAATGAATAAATAAAATTTATCAAAGACCTATTATAATTAAAGTTCCACATACTGGGTAAAAAAGGTTAATTAGATATAACCTCAGCTCTCAGCTATTCACAGTCTATTGAGGGGACAGAAATATATTCATTTTACCTAAGGCAATGTAATAAGTGCTTTATAGTTATATGAAAAAAATGCTGTGAGACTCAATTTAAAACAAGGGCTGGTTAAAGCACTAGCACATAGGGACATGGTAGAAGGCTTCAGCAGGAGGTGATAAATCCCAGGATATCTCCTACATCATCACTGTTGGCAGTAATCTCTCATATCCACAGGGTTCTATGTTAGGCTTTATGGGAAAGAAAAGTATTCTACTCTAACACAAATTCTGACATGCAAACCTCCAGAAAGCATGATAAGCACTTTTCTAAGATGTTACTACTGGCAGGGTTCTAAGGAAAATACAATTTTACTTCCGGTTCTTCTAAATCTTTCCATAAAACTCCCTCTCAAACACTGCAGTGAAACAAAAGGAAATAAAATTAGATAAACAAAGTTGATAAGATTTTAGAAGGGTGTTGGGAAAATGGAAATTCCATGGATAGGTTTCTCACCTGATTCTAATCTCGCCCATTGTTATGTTCAATGAGGTAATACTTAGCCTACTACATACCTGCCCACCAGTTGGCAGAAGCATCCCTCCTACCCCACGGGAGGAGAAGAAAGCAGCAGAGCCCTGTGCTAGGCAGAGAGAAGGGAGTCTGGAGTAGAGAGCAGGAGAGAGCCTGGGGACCAGAGGCTGGAGCCAGGGCGCAGACTGAGACAGGCAGTGGGAGTCCAGCGCTTGAGATGGAATAAAGCTTGGTATGAGCCCCTTTTTACCCGCAACATTTCATTGTCATTATTCAGTCTCAGCAAATTCACAGTGAACTTGCCCGGAGCTGGGAACGGAACCCCCTCTGCCCGGAGCTACAAAGGAGCTGAAATCTGTTAAATACATATACATAGTTGTGTCTATACTTGTAAAGTAATAAATAAAGAATAAGACAATTTCAGTAAGATATGAAAACAAAGAACATTTGTAGTACATATCCAAAAATCAACTGACCCATTATATTATTAAAATAGCTCTTACAAATAATTATGGTGGTAGTACAGGTCTTTAAATTTTCAAAATAGATCTGAAAGGGAAATATAAATATAAATATAAATGTAAATAAATATAATTCCATCTTACTCCTTCATCGCCTAAATGAAGCATAAATAACCTAACAGAGTGCCTTGAAAATCTGAATGTTTTAGCTATATTACATAAAAGATATCTAAATCAATTTGTACATTATCATGGGATTCACTTATATTAAAATGCTGTAAAATGGTAATGCAATCATAAAACTAACCATTGAACAAATTTTTTTTACTTAGTTTTACCACAAGATGTCACCCTAAGCCTAACATCTAAAAGTGCAGCTTCTAGTACATTGCTGTTGGAAGCATTTTTCTTCTTTCGGACTTCTTTTGGACATTAATGAACACTAATTACTAACTTTTTAAAGGTGGGGATGTATTTTTCCTGATATTTTCTATCAGTTATTGGTAAATGGAAAATGAAAACAAAGATTACAGGGACTCTAGAGGCAAGGAGAAAGTTAAACAGTTCATCATTCTCCATGCTGATCATCTACCCTGCTCTTTACACTGTGAAAGCAACGTATCTTACTATCTTACCATTGGATTTTACATTCTTCTTTTACTTTATTTTTTTAAATTTCCAGAATGAGCGTATATTACTTTCATAATCAGATAAAGTCATATTTTAAAAATTCAAAAAACAATACTTTTGTTATCACCTTCCATCCTCTTAACATAGAACCCACTTATAAAGTGCTTTTGTGTACTGTAATAATGGTGTCCTCACACCATTGGTAATTTTGTTCTCACAGATTACATCATGGAAGCCATATTAGTGTTTCAGGTTTTTTAAAAGCATATGATGGACCACAAAAGGAGGACAGTATTCACTTTCAAAGTGAGGCTTTTCATCTGTAGAGAGGTTTCCAGGTCACATATAAATATTACATCACATTCTGCAGTAATAGTATTTTACTTTACTATCCATTTGTGTTGGATTTTCTGCATTATGAATCTCTTCTATTCCTTCAGTTAATTGAGATTCAATGGTATTGAATTACAAGGTATTATCTCAATATACTGGCTATCTGAATTTCAGAACATTGAGTGAAGCCTCTATCTTCTATCACTTTTAACAACAAAAGGAGATTGGGGGGGTGGCTTAAACAAGCAAAAACCAAGCAAAAAAATGAAAAGAGTATTTTAATTTTTGTTTTAAAAAGAGAGTAAAACTATGAGAACTAAGTTATACACCATAAACAATGCTATATTTATCAGTGGCTCCCTATTCATACTTTCATAAAATCATCCCCTTTGGGATGAACAAGGATACATGGTTTTCATTCTTTTGAGTCCTTAAAGAAAATTCACAGATGGCCACACAAACATTCAATAATAAAAAATCAGCAATCAGTACCTAGCAGCCCACAAAGAATTGAATAGAAAATGATGTTTTGTGGTAAATGTTGCTGGGCTCTTTGCAGTCGGTTTATCTCAAATGACTTTTAAAGACCAGCCAAAGCAAATCTATCTGTTCAAAGCTGGACCTCAGGATTACTTACATAACAGCTTTTTACAGATTATTGCTGCCTCTCATTTTATTAGAGAAATTCCAACTACGCTATAGGCTTTCTGCCAAGATATTTATCACCCACTCAAAACAGTGGCAAAATGCAATTCTTTGTCATTCATTCACTTGTTCTTTTATTCCCCATGTAATGATATTGCTATACCAAATGGTTACATCACCAAAGTATAGAATTGTCTAAAGCATCCAGCAATCCTCTTTCTAAATCAAGTTCTCAAAGATTAAAACTCTCAAACTACTTAGCCAGTCTTAACTAAATACATCACACAAATCTATTTAGAGATGTTGCCATTCAGTTAATGGCCTTTACTAATCATCAACTAGATGAAACTGCTAATTTTTAATTGAAAAATTTATGGCTTACAAAATGTTCTCTAAAATACTATTCTCTAATGACAGGGTTTATTTAAATTCTGTAAGACTCCATTTAGAGTTGTTTTATTTAATACCAGCTAAGATGATTATAGTTATATGTCATTAATTCTTATCAGCCACAAAAGAATATTTTAACAAAATTAATCCAGAGGCAAACTAATCCTACACAGCTTTGTACTTCTATTTTTATTCAATAGAATGATTTTCAAATTTTCAGACTTTAATGTTTTTTAATTATATTCAGACCATAAAAGTTGGAGGTTTTGCCAATAACTGCAGACATTTATAATAAAAATATAGATAAAATATTTTCAAGATTAATCCTCATATATTACCATTTTTTGATTTTATATCAATAAACACCAGACCTGAAAAAGTAGTGATAGTATCTAGTAGACTCAGTTATTTCTTTAAAATGTTCTGTTTAAGCCCAGTAAAATACACAGCACAGAGTAGGGTTTTATTTTTTAAATTGTTTACTTAGTTGTTTTGTCTAGGGTAGGTATTTGTTTATATCTTTTGTTAGTTTGTATTAACTCTTAAGATATCATGAAAAAATAATAGTTATCTGCATAAATGCAAAAGATGTTTGTATAAAGGCATTCATAAATAAATGATATCCTTGATTTTCTTCACTATCTTTAACAAATTAGAGAATAAACCCAAGGTTAAGCATATATAGGTAGATTTATGACAAGTTGACAAAAACTTCTAAAACACTGATATTTTCATCAGTAAACTTTTCAGTTTGAATTGCAAACTTTCATAAGAAAAGCAAAGATAGTAAAAAGTATTTTAATATTTGTTTTGAGAAAAAAGGAAAAATAGAACTATGATTCCCACTGAGTAAAATGTGGCCCATTGTTTTTTGTACTAAGAAGTCATTTCTCTAGAAGAAAGTCAACTAACTCCTTTTTCTAGCATATTTGTCCTTAATTTTTTGCAATTACTCGGATATTTTCCTGTGTTTTCTTCCTATACAAAAATATTCTTTCAATATTTATATTTTTCAATGACCTACAGTTTATTTCTACTTTATAATAGTTATTTTTTAGGTTAAACTTAAATGAGAAAAAGAAAAACAACTTTCTAGAGACTTAATATATGATTGTATTCCATAGATCTGGATACTGTTCTATGTTAAAAATACAATTGTCTTCCTTCTTTCTTAATACTAAGAGACAATTTCCTTTCTTTAGAAAGAACCAATAATTTCTGTTCAAATTAAAATTTCCCTCTTTTTTCCAATTAAAAAAATAGTACAAAGCTTTCCTTCTAGTATTAAGGACAATTATTTCAGTTTTAAAGTTGGTTAACATAAAGTTTTTGGCCATATTACTCAAACTATTAAGCCCAATTCTGACCATTAAATGACAAGTAACTTTTTAATACATACCTAGCAGAGCTCGGAATAAGCTGCTTTTAAAAATACCCATCACCTTTTTAACAGCATTTTTCAACTGCTGCTCCTCTGGTTTCCTTAATTTTTTGCAGTATTCTTCCAGTAATGATAAAGCTCGATCAGTATCTGAAAAAGATGATTTTAAAATTCTCCTTGTGACTTTAGAAAAACAATAAGCTTACATTAAAGTATTCTATGATTGTATTCCTAATTTTTGATACAAAATAATTTAATAATCATAACTTCCATGAACTACCATATGATTTTGTTAATTACACTCAACTTCTAATCTTAAGAACTCACTTTTATTTCTATAGTCCTGCCTTCCAAAATAATCTACAACTATGAACCAAAACAAAGACCCTGAATTCAATATTGGCCAATTAATATTCACAGATGTGATTCTCTTGTCAGAACAATTATCTTAAAATTGATGACTTCCTGCTAAATAACTTCAAGATTCCTTAACGTGACCTTCGAGGCATCCCTCCCATGATCTGTTTACAACCTGTATTTTCAACCTTATTTCCCAAGTCAACTAAAAACCTACTTTCCCTTATTTTAGGTCTAACTGAAATGCTCTCTTCCAAAAAGCCATCTCTGACAATTAAAATCAATCACCATCCCTTCCTCTAAGCCATTTTGCCTACACAAATGCTGTATTTATTTTTAATTTTCCCTCCAAAAAGGTTGTAATAATTTATGCTTCCACTTAGCTAATTCTAGCAATCTCCTTTTTTTATTGAAGAATAACTGACATACCATATTGTATTAGTTTTAGATATACAATGAAGTGATTCAATATTTATATAAATCAGGAAATGGTCACCACAATACATCTAGTTACCATCCATCAGTATATAAAGTTGTTACATTATCATTGACTAATTCCCCTATGCTGTACCTGAAATCCCTGTCTTATTGATTTTATATCTGGAAAATTGTACCTCTTGATCACCTTCACCTATTTCACCCATCCCCCAATCCCACTCTCCTCTGGTAACTATCATTTCGTTTTCTGTACCTATGGGTCTGCTTCTGTTTTGTTTAGTTTTTATGGATCAATATGTATGTTAGATTATGGCTTCTTAAATATGTTTTCATCTCCTGTAAGACAAAATACCCTTGAAAAAGTCATCAGAGCGACAGTACCTTTGTGTGTGTGTGTAGTTAGTTAGTGACAATTGCCTTTTTTTTTTTTTTTT